TGAGGGGGGGTCTGACTTTTTGTGACGCCGTGTAACGAGGGGGGGGGGTCAAAAATCGTCCAAAATCGCGTGACGTCATTTATGGACGGCCCCATATGAGGCCAACGTGTTTCGAACCCACCGGCATCTTTGGCAGCTGTTTCTCTCTCTCTCTCTTATCGTCATTATCATCGGCCGTGATCTATCCACTGGTCGACAAAGGCTTTCCCCACGCGCTCTGCCGTGTTTTTGTTGTTGTATTGTTCAGGCTGCACTAGCGCACCACACCGATGGAGGAGACAGATTCGTGACCACCCATACTTCGCGTTGGTTCCTTGCCGCGTTGACACCAAATTGGGAAGATTTTTTTTCTGTGCCCCCAAAACTCCAGGATTAAATTACACGTGTTTTTTGTATTTTACCAGGTAAGGCCCGCTGAGCTATACAGCTCCTGTTCATAAGCGACTTGGCCACGAATGGTAGATCGACGAAGTGGCTTATCAGGTGGAAATTTATGGCAGCCAAATACAATAAATGCGTGTTTCTAAATGTGTAGGGAAAACAAAACCGGAGGACCCGGAGAAAAATCCACGCGACCATGGGGAGAGAGAGACACGCAAACTCCAAATATACAGCAGCAGGCGTCAGGGTTGGGATCGAACCCACGACCTCCTGTATACCGGGCGAGGTAGTTAACATCTCCTAGCCACCATGATGATGATGAGAGAGACACGCAAACTCCAAATATACAGCAGCAGGCGTCAGGGTCGGGATCGAACCCACGACCTCCTGTATACCAAGCGAGGTAGTTAACATCTCTTAGCCACCGTGATGATGCGAGAGAGACACGCAAACTCCAAATTTACAGCAAGCGTCAGGGTCGGGATCGAACCCACGACCTCCTGTATACCAAGCGAGGTAGTTAACATCTCCTAGCCACCGTGATGATGATGAGAGAGACACGCAAACTCCAAATATACAGCAGCAGGCGTCAGGGTCGGGATCGAACCCACGACCTCCTGTATACCAAGCGAGGTAGTTAACATCTCCTAGCCACCGTGATCATGCGAGAGAGACACGCAAACTCCAAATTTACAGCAAGCGTCAGGGTCGGGATCGAACCCACGACCTCCTGTATACCAAGCGAGGTAGTTAACATCTCCTAGCCACCGTGATGATGCGAGAGAGACACGCAAACTCCAAATTTACAGCAAGCGTCAGGGTCGGGATCGAACCCACGACCTCCTGTATACCAAGCGAGGTAGTTAACATCTCCTAGCCACCATGATGATGATGAGAGAGACACGCAAACTCCAAATATACAGCAGCAGGCGTCAGGGTCGGGATCGAACCCACGACCTCCTGTATACCAAGCGAGGTAGTTAACATCTCCTATCCACCGTGATGATGCGAGAGAGACACGCAAACTCCAAATTTACAGCAGGCGTCAGGGTCGGGATCGAACCCACGACCTCCTGTATACCAGACGAGGTAGTTAACATCTCCTAGCCACCGTGGCACCCAGCAGGCCTGTGCCTTATTGTGACTTAGCGATTCACTCTCCATCCAATTGGGGTAGGCGGCGGGGGGGGGGTAAAATATTTTCCGGAACTCCGCCGTGGACATAACTGGCTTAATCTAAGCCCTGTTTACAATACTCTCCGGATACTTTAAATTAATCGAATCCCTACCAGCATCGGTGTGGGGTGGCAGTGGTTTAAAAATCGGAAGCTTCCCGCTTCGATCGGTATTCTACTTTGTTTTTACAATTAAGATACGATTTGAAGAAGCCGACATAGATGATCGTAACGCGTGCGTTTGGATCCGTGACGTGGCCGTGGGGGGGGGGGTAGCTGAGACCTCAGAGCGGTGAGTCGGCACCACTAAGGACCCTGTGTTCAAATCCAGGTTTCAGTCGCCTGACTTGATGATTATGTCAGCCTGGTCATCAATGACTGCACACACACACACACATCAGAACCAATATTCCCATCGGATAATTGTTCTTTAGTTCTGCAACTTAATTCTCCACGTATTCATCCCCGAGTGTTAAGGACATCGGTCTGACTTGTTGGAATGCGATCAAACGTTACTCTCATATGGCAGAGCAAGTGGGGAAGTGATGCCCTCTAACGCGTGTGAACCAGAGCGTCACTTGAAGAAGTAATAAGGGAACTCGGTGGTAGTTCTGTGATAACCGCTTCCGTGGGTGCTTCCCTTAGCACGCCGCGCCGCACTCTTCGGCGAGATTTCCGGACGGATTATCCGTCACGTGAGGCCCACAGAAAAACTAATCTTGATGTAATGGGGGTAACCTTTACGTGACAAAAAAAAACCAAGCGAAATATACGTTATACTATTTGTTTTTTATTTTATTTTTTCGGTAAAGTCACGTAGGTAAAAAAAAATCAATAAAATAAATGAAAACAACTAAATTAAATCACGACGTTTCGGAGGCAACACAAGCTTCCGTCTTCAGGTGGAAACCGTCACAACAAAATTGCTGTATCAAGTGAAGAGAGCTCTAAGAGACCCGAGATTATATACAGGTTAAGGGGGGGGGGAGCCAGAATGGGCCGTGGGGGGGGGCTAAGAAATATACGTTGTCAGAAAAAATACAGACAGCCCCCTGACTTACGAACGCCAGATTTACGAACATCCACACTGAAGAACGAGCTTCCGTAAGCTGCTTATTTTGTAACCATTCGACTTGCTTCCGAATTGTTTGCTTCCGAAAATGTACAAATGTACAATGTTTGACACGTAGACTGTCGCGACCAATATTATCCATAATAAACGTTTTTTGGGGGGTTAAATCGCGTAAGTATAAATACGTCGTAACCCGCCACCACCCGACACAGCCAACCAGTAAGGTTTGTCACGTGAGCCCACCAGCGTGACAAACTTCACTGGTTAGCTGTGTCGGGTGGTAGCAGGTTACGACACATTTATACTTACGCGATCTAACCCAAAAATCTTTATTGTGTACAAATATTTATTCTTATTTATGAGTTTAACAATGTTTCCCTTTTTTGTTGTTGTTGCGCAAATGTTATAACACTAAACCCGTATGTGCACTGAAATATAGAGCACGTCATTGTACTCCGACTTACGAATGGTTTGAATGACGAACGAGTCTCGAGAATGAAACCCGTTTGTAAGTCGGGTACTACCCGTGACTCGATGTTCTCCGGATTCTACCGCGGGATCAACGCCTCTCACGGAGGAGGAAGGGGGGGGTGTAGAGTAGGCTCAGGGATTATCATCGTCATCATCAGCAGCCAGCCATACCGGCCGGCCAGCCATGATCTATCTACCGCTGAGCCGACCTAGGTGAGGCACAGGCGGAACTTTGATGCCACGTGCTACTGATGTGAGCCCTGGGACGTAGTGCAATGGGTTAACGAATGGTGACATCATTTTATGCAAACACACAAAGACAAACATCCCCCCCGCCATCGTGTAGCCTTCACCGAGTGTCGGGGCAAGTGCTGTTAGCGAGCACCTATGACGGCCGGCACGGCACACGAGGGGGTGGGTGGAAAACACCACGCCCGGCCACCTTTGTCTCCCCCGTGCTGATATTTACACATCGCACCAGGTACCCATTTGAGGCTGAGTCGACCTAGGGGAGGCCCAGGAGCGGTTCAGATAGTCGTCACCGGTGTTGGCCGTGAGCGGGAAGCGAACTCGGGCGGCCGGGTTCGTAGCGCAGCATAGCGCTAACCGCTGCGCCACCGCTCCTCACGTAAATACAACCTTACACACACACAGCCACAACCTCACATAGACTCAAAGCTTCACACATGACAAAGACAAATATACACACTCAGCCTCACAGACAACTTCAGACAGCCTAACACTCACAGCCACACACACACACACAGCCTCACACTCACACACACAGCCTCACACTCACAGCCACAAGCACACACACAGCCTCACACTCACGGCCACACACGACAGCCTCACACTCACGGCCACACACACACGGCCTCACACTCACAGCCACACACACGCAGATTCACACTCATCGTCACACACACCCAGCCACACTCACAGCCACACACACTCACAGACACACACACTCATAACCACACAGCCACACACACACAGCTTCTCACTCACAGCACATGGCTCGCCACGTGTCTCTCTCTCTCTCTGAGCCACACGGCCACACGAGCTCGCGTCCTGCCAGGAGGGGCGGGGGGTAAAGAAGCGACGCGGATTCGATTCCCGCTGAGCTGGCTCGAGAGGCGGCGACGACACCCACCACCACCCCCCCCCCCCAATCGCGCGTGTCCTGACCAAATGACGCACTTCACGAACACGTGTACACCATCGCCGCCGTCATGATGACAATACGCTTACGCTTCGTCAGGCTCACGAAAGCACACGCGTCGGTCAGGTTCTGTGCGCGAGTGTGTGTGTGTGTGTCTTAGGTCGGACTCGGCACTCAACGTTGTCGGGCGGCCCTGCCGCTGGCCACCCACCCACTTCGTGTGCCGCAGTGCCGGCCTTCATAGGCGCTGCTCGCTACTAACAGCACTTGCCCCAAGTGTCTGTAAAGGCTACCCGGGGGTGTGTTATATTTGTGCGAGACTAATATCCGATTAACCCCGGGATGTAGGCATGGACATTCGCTTATTCACGCCAACGTTTGTGATTAATAAAATCAGCTCAGGCGAGGACGCAAAACCTTTTGCGTCGTCACAATATCCGCAAGTTCTCCCGACGTCTGCACAATTGGCAACTTATTAACAACGGCAGCGGCGTCGTCATAATTTCCACCACCACCACCACCGCCGCCGCCGCCAACACCGATATCATCACCGATATCATTACCATCACCGCCATCATCACCATCATCACCGCCATCATCGCCATCATCACCATCACCGCTATCATCACCATCACCGCTATCATCACCATCACCGCCATCATCACCATAACCGCCATCATCACCACAACCGCCATCATCACCATAATCACCATCACCGCCATCATCACTATCACCGCCATCATCACCATCACGGCTGTCATCACCGCCATCTCCAGCAGCAGCAGCAGCGTTAGGGGTCCCGCGGTTCCGATTTAGTGCCTTTGCCGGGGTCATCTGGCCACCCAACAGCAATTTATATAAGCACAAAGCCCGACTCTGCTGATGAGACCCAGACGGTCGCGGGCAGTCCAGAGGCTGGGCTTTGCTTTAAAAAAAGCTGCTGGATAGTCGTCGGCTGGCTAAGCACCGTGCATAGGCTAGTGGACTAAAAGCGTCTTTAATTCGTTATGCTGCGACACAAGTGGAGAGATTCTGCCTCTGTTAGTGCGATCATCAGACCGCGCGTGAGGTGCGTATCTCTCAACACAGGAAGTTCGCGGTTCGAACTCACGGCCGCCCTGGTTAACGCCGCGCCGGTGTATTAATCACACAATTACGCGCCACCTGCTTCAAAGTGGACGTTAAATATCCCCCACCCAGTGGGACGTTGGTGGCAAACAGCGAGGAAGTAACGTGTGCTTGGAGGCGTCACGGTCCAAATTTTGCCACGGATTTTAAACGAAAATAAAAGTAAAATCCACCTCGGATAATTACTTAATTGGGTAAAACCACACCACGTGCATCGCCTCCCCCCCCCCTCGTCACCGCAACACGCGAGCAGGGCACCCCCTTCGTGACTTTAAAGTCTTGAAATTCGTCGAAGCATTTCCGAGTGCGCATGAGCGTAACGACAAACAAACGGCAAACCGCGATCGTCAATGAATGAATAGAAGCCTCCCCCCCCCCCAACTCGGGGAAGCGCTCCCCGTGGTCCAGTAGGCATGGCGGGGCCGGATAAGCTTAATCTCGGTGGTGATGAGATTGGCCGGAGCCGCGCCGATTATCCTCCTCGCGGGGTCGTCGCGGGCTCTCGGCGCCAGGAGGAGCGTCGTTCGGCCCGCGCCGGCGACGCCGCGTGTCTCGCACGGGGGTCGAGGCGGGTGCCGAGGCGAGGCGGTGAGCGGCCCGCCCGGAGCATCCTGGGCGAGCGCAGCGCTTCAACGACGACGACGAAGACCTTCGGGTCGCGTGGACTCCGCCGATCTCCGCACGCCTCCGCATGGCTTGAGCCGCGCGCCCGGCCGCAACAGCGCGATCGAGTCTGACCGCGTGGGGTCCGCCACCTGTGGGAGGTGTGCGAGGGGCATCACCTGTCCGCATCACCTGTCCGCATCACCTGTCTGCATCACCTGTCCGCATCACCTGTCCGCCGAGTGACCGGCACCTGGCCACCCGAGCCGCCGTGCGCTCTGCGCGGACGCAATGGGCACTGCGATCTCCGTTCAGAGCGCCTTGCAGGGGGTCGACGCGTGCATCAGCTCCGAGCCCCGCGAGCACGTCAACAACAACGCCAACAACAAAAACGGCGTTGCCGACGAAGATGACGACGACGACGACGCCGACGATTGTGGTAGTTGTGGTGGTGACGCTGCTGCTGCTGCTGCTGGAGGAGGTGGTGGTGGTGGTGGTGACACCAGGGTGAAACACAACCGGGCCCGGACGGTTTTCATCACGGCGATCACGTTCAAAAATCTCATCGTCGGCGCGGCGACTCGCAAGGTGCCGTCGAGTCGAGCCGCGTTTCCCCGCGCGCCTTCGCGCCGGCCCCCCTGCTCGTGCGAGCACCGGCCCGCCGCGGCCACGGCGGCCACAACCGACTCGTCCGACAGAAAGCCAAGGAGCGAGAGGAGCGTCAGCCTGCCGGTGGCCAGCCGCGAGCCGAGACGGATCGTTCCTCCAGCCAGGACCACCGTCGTCACCACCGTCGCCGTCGCCGCTCCCGCCGCTCCCGCCGCCGTCGCGGCAGCCAACGACAGCGCAACCACCGCCGCCAGCAACAGCACCAGCAGCAGCCCTCAACAGCTGATGGAGAGGCTGCTCATGCGAGCGTCCAGCGGCGAACTCCTGAACTGTCTGGGGACGCACCTGTGCAGGCGCTGCGCGTTACTGCGCCACATAAGTCCCGCAGACCCCGTCCGTTGGCTCAGGGCGGTGGACAGGACCCTGCTGGAGCAGGGCTGGCAGGAGACGGCCTTCCTCACACCGGCCAACGTCCTATTCGTCTACCTGCTGTGTCGCGAGAGCGTCTCGGAGCAGACGAGCAGCGAGGGCGACCTACAGGCCTCGCTCCTGGTGTGCCTCTACCTGGCCTTCTCCTACATGGGCAACGAGATCTCGTACCCGCTCAAGCCGTTCGTCGTGGAGGCGTTCAAGGATAAGTTCTGGGAGCGATGCCTGAACCTCATCGACTCGCTCAGCGGCCAAATGCTGCTCATCAACGCGAGCCCCACGTTCTGCGTCGAACTCCTGCGGGAGTTGAAGGGTGAAGGGAACGCGGACGAAACGCGTGGGGACAGGAGGACCCTCAACTTGGACAGATGAGCGAGAGGAACAGCGGCAGCGGACAGACAGATAAGAGTATCATGGGATACATTTTTGTTGGCAATGTCAAAGTATGAAAAAAAGAAGTAGGTTTTAACCCTTTCTGGCAATAAAGCATGAGGTGTTACGATGTTCAAACACCAAATAGATATGTTGTCGCAAGGAAGCAAGTCAGCATTAACCGCTTCTCACGCCGAGCTATAAAATGCTCTGATGCGTGTGGCATTGTCTTTGTGCTGCTCGCCTTTTGGCGTCGTTCTCTAGCCTGCCACTGGTGCTGAGACAAGGCCCTAAAGAAGGATGTTGTCTCCGGTGTAGGCCAATCCGTTTCAAAGACAATGCCCGTGTATTGTTATCAGAGCCATGTTTGTTTGCATGTTCACCACGAGTACGTGTGGTGAATGCGGGACTTTGACGCCTTGCAAAGTGTACCGATTTGGCGTTTGAACATCCATACACAGCGCCCGTTGTATCGACACAAAGGGTAAAACACCTGATTATTTATTGCATAGACAGACGAGAGACGTGGCAGCTACACAGGACACACGCGCCGAACTTCAAAGAAGCTCCCGGCACGTTGGTGGTGGTGGTGTGGGGGGGGCGGCGCGAAACGTCGTCGACGTAGAGGCGGCAGGGGAGCGACCGTGATGCAGCGACGACATCGGGGGGAGTTGTGAGCGACGACAACAGCCGCGCCGGTTTTTTTTGCTTTCTTCGCCGGCTCTGCTGCCGCGCGCGCAGGGAGATCGAAGTCGGCGACCTCTGTGGAGTGCAAGTCAGCCAGTTGAACACGTGGCCGGCTTGGTGTTAGAACGCATAACGCATTACGCGATCTAACCCACGCAACAACAACAAAACGCCATCATGCAAGTCAGCCATCGCACAGCGAGCGGCAAGGCCACCTGTAATGTCTTTATGAATAATTTGTGAATAATAATTGCTGCTGTTAAGAAGTTCAGGGCAGGGAGTGGTGGTGGTGGTGGGGACAGGAGGAGGTGAGGGGGGAACAGAAGGAGTGTGTTTTGTGATCTGATTTCCCGGGGTCTAAGATAGTCGCGCCCGGTCGTAGGGTCAGACGCGAATTGTAAGGTGTCTCGCAATCTTCAGGTGCAATATCGATGATGGCCAACGCTTCAATAAATCTCGATCCAGGAAGTATACTGTGGAACATAGATAGATACTGCAGTACTCGGTCTGACAGTACAGCATTCACAGCCTGTCTAGATGGGCTCAGGGTTGCCACCTGCCCGGGGTTGACCCCCCCGGACGGTCCAGGGGAAATTGGCATCCGCGTGCCGGTGGCAGGAGTTGATTTGTACCGAGGTTCGTTTACCCGATGTCGTGTTGAACGTGTATTTTACGCAATGCGCACTGCTTACAATAGAAAAGGTGACAACCCTACAGAGCCTCTCACACCGTGTCGTCTAATGGGGAGGGAGGGGGCGGTGCTCAACTATACTTCACCACGCCGGTCGGTGTGGTTTGGTGTCGCGAGGCGAAGGGCACGGACGGACTGCTTCGGACGGTGATGATGACGAGACTGCGACAGTGCTCCTTGAAGGACGTGTCAACAACGGCGTAACAAGATGAATATCTAGCACCAGATAGTGGTGGTGGTGGTGGTGATGGAACTGTCGACTGTGACACGAAGAGCAACTCCCAAAGCCTAACGCGGTCGGGGTTGCAAGCGCGCACGGTGCTGGAAGCACGTGTCAGCTACGTCACAAAGAGCAGACTTCAAGTCACGTGCCGGTGTCGAAGTCCCCCTTGCGCGCGTGCGGTGGTGCTTGATAGGTCCGGCGTCGGCTTTGCAGCGGCTGCGGGATCTGGCAAAAGGACGGACGTGATGGCGGTATGAGCTGCTGCTGCTGCTGCCCTTCACCAAAGAGATTAGACATGTAAGAGCATTGCAGCACGTGTGGCCGTATCGCCAGCAGCGTGCGCGTGACCTGCGCGTCGGGATGGCTGTGCATTGGTCTGTTTGTTTGCACTCGTAACGAATTCGCAACGTATATCACTCTCATCAGCAGTAGTGGCGGAATTATCATCAGCATCATCAGCAGCAGCAGCAGTAATAGCGGTGTTGTTATTATTATTATCAGTAGCAGCAGCAGCACCATGAGCAGTATCAGCATCATCGGCAGCAGAATCATCAACAGCAAAAAAAATAACAGCAGCATCAGGGTAATTTCCATCCTCAGCAGCGGCATCATTATTATCAGCAGCAAAGCAGCATCATTCATCATCATTAGCATCATCATCAGCAGAGATTTTAATGAAGCGCCTTTCGACTAAATATACTAGGCATTCCAAAGCAAATCTGCACATAGTAAATATACATGGCGAACCTGACGACGTGATTCAATGTGTTCTACCAACACACACACACAGAGCAAACCCCGTGCAATTGTACATCGTGCGACGGTCGTTACTGAGAGGTTTTTTTAAATAAGAAATATATAAAATAAATACCACTCGCCGGAATTTCTGTCTGTCTCCCTTTGGTCATAGTCAGCACTGGCACGGTGCATCATCAATCCTCGTGCAAGCTGCTGTCCAGCGGCTTGTTGCCGTCATTATTATTGTTGTCGTGCAATATTGTTACAGTATTATTATACGGTAGTATTTTTTACAGTATTATGTGGTATTATCGTTACAGTATTGTTACACAGGTACTATTTCATTTTACCAGGTAAGGCCCCACTGGGCTACGTAGCTCTTCTTCAGAAGCGACCTGGCCATCACAAGTGATAGCTCAACGAAGTGCCTTACAGCGTGGAAATTTAAAGCGGCCAAATACTCTAAACGCGTGATGTTGATCCTAAATGTGGAGGGATGAAGCGGAGGACCCGGAGAAAAATCCACGCGACCACGGGGAGAGAGAGACACGCAGACTCCAAATACACAGCAGGCGTCACTGTCGGGATCGAACCCACGACCTGCTGTATACCAGGCGAGGTAGTTAACATCTCCTAGCCACCGTGATGATGATGAGAGAGAGACACGCAGACTCCAAATACACAGCAGGCGTCACTGTCGGGATCGAACCCACGACCTCCTGTATACCAGGCGAGGTAGTTAACATCTCCTAGCCACCGTGATGATGATGAGAGAGAGACACGCAGACTCCAAATACACAGCAGGCGTCAGAGTCGGGCTCGAACCCACGCCCTCCTGCATACCAGGCGGGGTAGTTAACAATACTATAAACTAGCATTGTCGCGTTATTATTACAATATTATTACGCACTATTCTTTGTACGGTTTATTAGACAGTTTTATTACACGGTTTTATTGTGACAGTATTATTAATACGACTGCTAGAGCACTTCGAGCATTGCCGAGTCTCAAGACGCGTTAGCCAAGAGGGTCCTGGCCACGTGTGTCACAGCAGTGATGGGGGTGGCGATGTTTGCTCTGCGTCATCCCACCACGGCCTTCAGCGCTGGCAAAAGTTAATAATGACGATGATTATGATGATTATGAAGAGTATCACTCAGGTCAGGCGCGGCTCCGTCTCCTCTCAGTGGAGGCGGCTAGAAAGGGAGCGGGGAGGTTTGGTGGTGTTGGCCGCTGAACGTTTTGAGCCAGCCCTCGTCAACTGTAAAAAAAAAATAACAACCCACAACCACCACCACCACAGCAAGGCATGATAACCACACCGCCCTCCAGTAACCCCCTCCCCTTCTCCCCCCCTCCCCCCGTGTCTTCATCTTCATCCGATTGTCTATAAATCTCCTTACCTTCTTAAGCTCGAGGATTTATGCTAATTTGGGACTTTCTTTAAATACCCACACGGGTCCAGGTGCTCATTATTCCAGGGGGGTGATTGTGTAAGGTGGTTGGGGGGGGGGGGCATGCAAGGCGCTCAGCTGTTATATCAGCGGGGTACACAAGTTGCGGCATGGATACCGTGCAAGGCCGTTTTGGAATTCCCTCCCATCGTCTCTTTATTAATTGATTCCCCCCCCTCCTCCCCCAAGTTTCTATAACTTTTCTCAGTCCCAAAAAAAAAGGTTTTGACTCTTCCTGCATTACAACTGCGATGGTGCTGGCTGTTGCCGGCCGTCTGGCGTTTCGCGCTTGCCCTCAACAAAATAACCATCCCGACTGACACTGCAACACACGGCGGTTGCCACCTGTCCGGATTCGAGCCGGACAAATTATGAGAGTACCACCATTTGTGTTCTTCGGGTGTCAAGCTATTGCTTCGTGCCCGAGAACTGGCATCGCCTAATGTATCGAACTGTACAGATTTTACACCGTCAGCTGCATAGTTTACATCACGGACCCTGTAGGTTGAACCGGTTGCCGAACGAATGCACACGGGTCGCACTCATTACAGAACGAAGCGCTTCGCCACAAATGAAACACCGCAAATTCCTTGTCGCCGATCTCGTCAAGGATCATAAAGCATCAATCACGTCAAAGGAGCCGTTCATAAATGACGTCACGCACCTAGGGGGGGTGGGGGGAGGGGTCAGATATTTGTGACGATGTGTGACGAGGGGGCGGGGGGGGGGGGTTGAGAAATGTGACGTCACGTAAAAATGTGCAACTTTAAATAAATATAGACAACACGTTCTACTTAATTAAATAGACTTTTTAATAAATTATTTTCCTACAACATCAGAGTGCAGCGCCACGTTAAATACGCACTACAATGACAATAGTTGAAAGCGATTTGAATCGTGTTTTTTTGGGGGGGGGGGGGGCAGAGCTTTGTGACGTCATATTTGAGGGGGGGGTCTGACTTTTTGTGACTCCATGTGACGAGGGGGGGGGGGTCAAAAATCGTCCAAAATCGCGTGACGTCATTTATGGACGGCCCCCATCTCATGGTGGTCTTCCTCGCAGCAGAAGCAGCAGCAGCAGCGGCTTCGGCGGCGGCTTTTGGCTGCTCGCCGTCAAACAAAGACGGCGGTCAACGCATCGCGCGGCCCTTTCAGACGTGCTTCTGCGGCCGTCTGGAACGCTGTTCGGCATGCAGAACATACCTACGGCGAGCCCACCATGTTTACGATTTTGAGTGGAGTTGCCACGGTTTCAACTGCAGACCAAACCCTGACTTTGTACGTATGTGTGTATGTGTGTGTGATGCAAGGCCGTAATTATAATATATATTGGGGGGGACACATTCCCCCCCAATATGCAAATATGCTCAAAATGTCCCCCCCCCACCCCAATATATTGCTCTAAAAATTGTTTTAATAATTGCTATGCTATGTAAATAAACATAACAATTTGCTAAACATTGGCTTCAATATCTGGACTTGTCTTCATATAACAATGCATAGATTTATGTTTATATGATTGTGGTTATGGTTGTACTTGATAAATTCCTAATCTCTGCCATTAAATACAATGAAACAAGAAAAGGTAAAAAAGAAAAAACATAGCAATGTAATACAATACAAATCGAGATGATGATGATTTGAAAGTGCATAGCCCCGGTGGCTTCGTAATATCGGGAGGAAGCGCGTTCCAGACGGCCGCAGAAGCGCGTCTGAAAGCGCGCGACGCTGCGCGGATGCCCAAAGTTGCCGCGACTCGATGCTTTAAGCTCCTCGACAAAATCGGCGGCGGGGTATCGTGGTCGTTCATTCGTAGCACAGCGATTTTGCGTGCGCAATGAGCGCGACCCTTATAATTGTACTTCGCTCGGCAAACCGAAAGCCAACGCATCCTCGCGCGGAGCACTGGACACGGACGCGCGGTCGGATCTTGAGTGCAAATCTTGCTGACGTGCAACGCGGTTGAGGGTCACGTCCGGTTTAACCGCTTACCACTAATGACGCATTACATGCTCAATACATCTCTCGGGGTCTCCAGGGGGATGATGATGATGATGACATGAAGTACTTGTTTACGCGGGAAGAGCCAGAGAGGAGAGTGGAGGCTGAATTTCAGGATGGTCCTGCATTGGGATTGTTGGCCAATGGTAGTTGGAATGGTAGGGTTGTGTTTAGTCATGAGAGGTAACCGGATAACCCGGTGGAAACACATGCAGAAACAGGGGGAGCGTATACAAACTTGACACACACACACGGACACATATGCGTACTAACACAATCACACAACACTCACTCAGTGGAGGACACACAAACCCGACACACAACAACAACCGCCATTAGCCACAAAGTGGCGGTGACGTCACCACGACGCTTGTGCCAGGCTATGTGCACGTTGAGGCTACGTGAAGTGTCGAACGCCCGCTGGCACAAGGTCACGGGGCAGACCCAGCAGGTGGCACGGGTCGACTGACTGAGATGACTGGCTGATGTACCACCTGTGCCCCCTACTGTGCCAACTTGCTGTGCTTTATTCATCCGGCGCTCCGCTCGTTGTTGTGAGCGTCACTCCTCCGCCCTCCGTTGTTGTTGGAGGGTGACTGCCTCCAACTGCCCAGTAGCGTCCTTCACGAGCCTCCTCCACAGAGGCCGATCTTGATACCGCTGGTACCAGTCATCGGCAAGTCCACTCAGCTCCAGATCGGCCTGTACCACATCACTCCATCTCTTCTCTAGCCCGTGCTGCGCTCGTTTAGCCCCCTCGATCCGGTCGAACAAAAGTTGTTTAGGCATGCAGTGGCTGGGCATGCGGGCTACATGACCCAGCCAACGCAGCCTTGCCTGCCGGAAGAGCTCACCGATGGGACTTTGTCCAGATCTTTCAAGGATTTGTAAGCTCCTCACACAATCCAGCCTGGTTGAACCCAGGATGAATCGTAGGCAGGCCAGCCTTAATGTTTCGAACCGGCGAAGATGTTCCATTAGGGGGTTCCACGTTTCGCAACCGTAGAGAAGGGAGGGAATGCCTGTGGCTGAGAAGACCGACAGACCAGGTAGCTTCCACACCGCGTTACGCAATCGATGAAAAGATAATGCCGCTCGACTGATTCGGAGTGAGTCCTCTGCTGTCAAACCTGGAGCCGGTCATGAGCACACTGCCCAGGTATGGGAAACTCTCCATTCTCTCCACAACTGCCCCATCACCAATTGGGAATCGTGGGGGTGGCGTGTTCGATGGTACAAAATACCCAGGCAGGTGCTTAGTTTTGATGGGGCTGATGGTAAGGCCCCACCTCTTAGTGGCAAGCTCAAGGTTCAGCAGCAGCGCCTCCAACTCCTCGCTAGAGTGAGAAGCAATTACCAGAGCATCATACACACGCGCACTAACACACTCACACAACACTCTTTCAGTAGAGAACACACAAACTCGACACAGAAAGACTGGAATCAAACCCAGATGCTTCTTGCTTCTTGGCACAAGTGACACTGCCCGCCGGAGTTACCGTATTTTCTCGCTCCGGAAAATAAAACGCACTCGGTTGTCAATTTAAAAAAAAGGTGTGCAGAAATGTGGTCACGCGCACGCGTGCGCGCACCGATTATAAGACCCACCCACGCACCTGCACACCCACGCACCTGCACACCCACGCACCTGCACACCCACGCACCTGCACACCCACGCACCTGCACACCCACGCACCTGCACACCCACGCACCTGCACACCCACGCACCTGCACACCCACGCACCTGCACACCCACGCACCTGCACACCCACGCACCTGCACACCCACGCACCTGCACACCCACGCACCTGCACACCCACGCACCTGCACACCCACGCACCTGCACACCCACGCACCTGCACACCCACGCACCTGCACACCCACGCA